TGGAGTGACCATCAGACAGTTGAGGTATTGTAATATTATTTATTTTGTATAAGTTTTCTAACTTTTACAGAAGAAAATGTATAAAGTTATTTGATATTGTAAGGATCCGGGAAACAAAATTGAATGTCAAAAAGAAAAAGTAGTTACAATGTTTTTCCGACCCTATACTTGGCACTACACTACGTCACCCACGACCACATTACTGCAGTCGACAGGAAATGCAGGAAATTATCAGGAGAAACATTATACTCAGCACCAGCATATTTCGTTACATATCGTCTCCCAGTATGAACAGAATGATACTGCAGCTGACATCGTTCAGCAAATTTTCGTAGCATTTTCTCTCCTAGTATGAAATGAAATTACTTTAGGAATGACCACACGTTAAACCCTCAGTTTTATTTCCTCAGTTTGAATAGGATTAACCTGCTGGCAAAGTTTCAAAGCATTTGTAGCAATATTTACATAGTATCATTTTACAAACGACCATCCTGTAATTTTTTGCTGTATTTTCCTCCCAGTATGAACGGAGTATCCCTTAGTATATCATAACAGTATATTTTTACCCCAGTATCAACAGAGCTTACCTTTGTAAATGACCTAAAAAAAAAAGAAATAAAAAAAAAATCCGCATAGTATTTTTCTCCCAGGCTGAGTGAAACATCACCTCCCTAAACGCCCACCTAACAGTACCGTAGTCCTGGGAAATAAAGCAGAGTAGTGGCAACAAGACACCGCTTAGGGACAGTGCACCGCAGAATTCCAAATGCCCGTCATATACTCCTCGCTAGAGTAAAAGAATTCATATATCTCACCAAACGATCTCGGCGGACTGCCCTAATAGTGGTGGTTGGGATGGTGGGAGAGGGGTGAGTGGGAGGGAGATGAGAGGGGTGGGGTGAGGATGGAGATGAGAGGGGTAGGGTGGAGTGAGGAGGGAGATGAGAGTAGGGGGGGAGGCGATGCTCCTGCCGTGTGACGAGGGGGCATAAGGCTGTGGGTCCTGAAAGTCGTCCTGGACAGATATATTCCTCAGATGTAAATGTTAAGCCCAGTACCCCTTGTGGGGCTACGTGTTGCCTGGCCCACCTGCAGGACGAGAGAGAGGTGGAGTGTGTACTGGAATTCATAGGAGGAGGAGGAATATTTAAAGGAAAGAGGAGGAATATGTAGAGGAAAGAAGAGGAATGTGTAGAGGAAAGAGGAGGAGGAAGGAGCCAAGGAGCAGTATGAACAGAAAGGAACAGGAGGAATGTAAAAGTCAAGGAGTAGGAAGAGAAGATAGAATAGGAGAATTTTTACTGGAAGGAGAAAGAGGATTTTGTAAGACAATGAGTTGGAAGAATAAGTAGAAGACCAGGTTAATAAAGTAGGGGGGAAGAAAAGTCTAAACAGAGTAAGGAAAAAATTTGATATTTACAGGAGGAAGAAAAGCAGGACTGAGGATTATGAGTAGGAGGAAGAAGTAAGTGTAAGAAGAAAAAATAAATAAAAGGAGATGAAGAGTAAAAGAGAACATTGTGGCTTAAGAAAAATGAGAAAGAGGAAATAATAGAGAAAAGATTCAAATAAGTAAACAATAGAAGGACTATGAGGAGCAATATAGAGAAATGCCGAAGAGGAGATAATGAAGGAAGAGATAGAAGAGAGACATTAAACAATAAAGATAACTGAAGATGCAAGAGTAATTTTCGTATATTTTGGGCCCGACAAAATCAGTTTTCATTTATTTTCTTTCATCGCGTAATCGAGTGTATACAATACCGGGTAAGTCATGCGCCTTCCCGCCCCGCCAGCAGCATCGTCAAGCGTAATCCTTCAGGAGAAACAAAAGGGTTCTCTGAGCTTTTCAGACTTATTCTAAAGCAGCGAAATCTTAGGGAAGAGGAGAAGGCTTTGAGTTCCGAGATGCTGACGCAGTGGAGGTTAAATTACATTTCTAAATTTCAGAAGGAGGAATGTTTCATTTGCCTGGCGTAGGAGTTTCCCTAACAGAGTATAATGCCAGAGGGTGAAACTCAGCGCCCCAGTCACCAACCAACGGTGTCAGTCTCCAAGGGGGGGGATGTCATTATCATTTCATTATTTTTATTTCGTTTCCCTCAGTGCAAGTATTCTTTAAGCAGTTCTCCTTCATAAACTATTTTCTTCTCTTTCAAGTAAATCTCACAAACGTAATAAAGCTTCGAAAGATATAGTCATTTTTTCGATTTAAATTGAATTTTTATGATCTCTTATGCTTAAATCTTATTCTTATCTCGAGCTACGATTATCATCAGCGGTGTTCTGCCCCGAGTCCAATGGCGTGTGTGTGTGTGTGTGTGTGTGTGTGTGTGTAGCGGTGGTTAAATCATCTATACAACGGTGTATACTTGTGTTAACGTCTACAACATCACTATGGCAGTTATGTACACCCATCACGCTGACTCTTCATCACTCACGCCGCACACTGAGACAGACATTTGATGGGGTCTGTCTGTCCATCTATCTGTCTCTCATTCTGTCTGTCTGTCGCTACACAGCTTAACTCAACTAAGGATAATATCAGAAAGTAAATACGTATTATAAGGGATAATACTCATGTATGTGTGTCGGGTATATTTCTGAGGCACTGGTGATAGAAGAGGTTGTGAAAATGGGTCGTGGTATATAGAGGGAAATGTGACAGCGTCTGTCCGTAGATTTGCATATGTCGTCTGCCTGAGACTTCTTACCATAATAATCATTAATAATAATGGTGCCAAACTATCTTATATTAGAACAGTAATTGATAATAATAATTAGTTTGATTAATAAAAATTGTTTTAGAAATGATAATTCATAGTTTAAGACTACTCTTACTAATAATATATTGGGATAATGATATAAACAGCGTTAAAATTGATAATGTCAGTACAGTATTACAGGTCATTTAAAACTAATATTTGTAAACACAGTGATAATAATAACTTAACTCACAAATAATAAAACAAGCACAAGAAACTCTTTTACACGGCTAAGGACTCAAACACGGTTATAATACAAACAAAGGCTTCCTACAACAACAAACACCCGAATTTAGGCGCATCTTCAATATATATCTTGTATTTAATATGAACGAGTAAAGTGGTGTTGGCCTTTTACAAGTAGTTCGCTAGATTTAAAAACATAACAATGAGATGAGTAATTGATATGACAAGGATGCGTGCGTGTGTGTGTGTGTGTGTGTGTGTGTGTGTGTGTGTGTGTGTGTCCCTGAGATGTGGGGTTGAAGGCCTTAAACATTAATAACGTGAGAAAATAACCAATGACTGAACAAGCACAAAATAAAAATAATAACTTGGAATGTAAATACCTGACATAAAGGAAGGAAGTATGCAAATATGTGCAGGGAGATGAAAAGACTGCACTGGGACATTCTGGGAGTAAGTGAAGTAAGATGGATTAGGATCGAATCGTATTTAATGGAGATTTTTTACTTTATACATTCAGGCAGTGAGAAAAGAGCGGTTTAATGTTCTTGTATAATGGAAATTGAACAGTTGTTTAGAGGAATATCGAACAGTGAGAGATATGAGTTCCTTTATATAATTATTCCGGTATAAACAACAATAAATGATAAGGAAGACAAGTTTTAAGAAGAGTTTGAAGATGGCGTAGAAAACAAAACACAATGTGAAGTTTAATGAATGCTGAAATATAATACACGATTGGGTAGTAGATATGAAAGAGGAGAAAGGGAGAAAGAGTAAGCAAATATTGTTAAAAAAAGCAAACTGATGACTGCAAATATTTGACGTGATAATTACCCCCCACGATAATGTAAATAATATTATCAATATTAAAATCGATTCCAGTTTATTTTCGATATAATTCAGGAATTCTGTAAACGTATACTAAAATCCACCCAGGGGCAGTCAGTAGGTCAGATCAGGTTAGGGTTTTGAGTTGAGTGAAGCTGGTTTTATAAAGAGATTGGGTCGGATTGTTGACAAGTTATCTGAGTGGCTGTTTTGTTTTTGGGAGTGTGACAATGATATAGTGTGAGTTAGTATCTCTCTCTCTCTCTCTCTCTCTCTCTCTCTCTCTCTCTCTCTCTCTCTCTCTCTCTCTCTCTCTCTCTCTCTCTCTCTCTCTCTCTCTCTCATTTTCACTTTTTTTTATTGCTCTAAGTCTTCGTTCTCATCCACTCTATCATAATGACCCCCTCCCCTTTTCTCTCATTCATATGCACATGCTCCTCCTGCGCCTCTTCCCCACCGCATCCCTCACCCCCTTTCTCTCACTCCCCCTCTTTTCACCTTCTCTACCCCTCCTTTTTTTTTGCACCCTCCCTCCCTCCCTCTCTCCCGTCCACTCTCCTCTCTCTGCCTCCTATCCTACCTCTCCTTCCCTCACCCCCTCACCTAGCCCCACCCCCTCACCCCCAGCACCAGTTTAATAAGAATGTTCCATAAAGAACCAGAGATTTGTGAGGGACACAGAGAGTAAATTTTCAGGCCCACTGATATTCACTCGACGGTTAGGAACCTCCCCTCCCTTCCACCCTTTCCCCTCTCCTTCCCCATTTTCTCTTTTATCTTTCCCTTCCATTCGATCTTTCTCCAACCTTCACACCTCTTCACCCCTCTCCCTCCTCCCTCCCACCCTCTCCCTTCTCTACATTTCCTTTCCGTATGTCTCTTCCATTACTTTCTCTCTTCCTTTCGTCTGTTTAATTCTCCTCTCTCTTCATTTCCTTTTTCATCTTTACATATCCCTCCTTTCTCACCCCACTCCACCCACCCCTCTCCCATACTCCCTTCCTATTCCTTAGTTCCTCCCTCTCCCTTCAAAGCTCCCCTTCCCCTCTCTCCTCCCACCACCTACTTTCTCCCCCTCTCTCTCTCTTCAACTCTTCCCTCCCTACTGTCCCCACTACTTTACCCCCCCCTTTCTCCCACTCCCTCCCCTCCTAAGCTCCCCCTCTCTCCTCCCCACCACTCATTCCTCAGTCAATAAACGTGGACGACTACACTCACAAATGACGTCAGACTGGCCATTGCAGGTCATCCACTGTGAACCAGGAAAAAATAGACAGTGAATTAGGATGAAAAATTATAAAAATGAAAGTGAATAATATAAAAAAATAGTGAATAAAAGTGATTTAGAGAGAACAACGAAAAATAGGTTAAAAGAAAAAGATAAAATCGATTAAGGAAAGAGCAAAGTGAATTAGAAAAATAAGTTAATCTGATTAGTTTAAAGGAATTACAAAGAGGAGAGATGAAAGTGAATTAATGAAAAATGAATTTGGAAAAGGAAAGATAGAAAGGAATTAGAAAAAGACATAAGTGATAAAACAAATAATACAATATACACTACGTGAATAAGCAGAAAGGAAAATATAAAATGACTTAGAGAAAAAAACTGCGGGTACTTGAAAGAAAGAAAAATGCAAGACAAAAGAATAAAAGTGGAAGATACAAAAATTACAACAAATAACTGAAATAAAGGGAAAATTATATTATACCTCACTTCATTTACCGAACAACAACAATTATTACACATGGGATTATAAAAACCCACAATGAGTATATGTTAGTAGACTGACCAACGTTTATACAATATGAAAATAATAGTAATTGATATTAATAAAGGCAGCATAGTGCTTTTAATTATACTAGGAAATACAAGCGAGTAATTTAGTTTCTGATTTAAATGAACTGCATGGATACAAATGTAGTTAAATCTTTATTGGATATAGAGGAAGACGTTCACTTTAAGATAACCGGGATATACCTTAGTATTTGTTCGGCTAATTAACCTGTTCTGACCTGAGCTAAGGTGACCTAAACTAACCTACAGAACCTAACCTAACCTAACCTAACTTATAAAGTCCTCACATTAACTGATAGAAAGGTCACGTTAAAGGACAGATACAACACAATGTACATTCGTTTTCAGAGAGTGTGTAATGCTGCAACCTCGTTGTTAATGTGCCATCTAACGCACCACCTCAGCCCAGAGTCACAACACACTCATGATCCCATTCCAGTGAGAGAGAGAGAGAGAGAGGTTGGATCACGTCTGCTGTTGCTGGGTTGTGTAATGATTAATGGCGTCTTTCCCTGTCACCGCAAGGTCACAAAAATACGACCTGTACTTTTTCTTCGGATATTTGAAGAGATTTCGCCAGTGAGTCATTGTTTCATGATGGCCAAAGTTCAAAGGCAAGTTTTATGACAGGGCCAGCAGTTTATTGCCGACTCCAGCAATCAGTAACGCGATCAGGGCTTAACAATAGGTCATAAAATTGATCTAATGAATCCTCCTTGTGATGCAGTGAGCTAAAAAGGACTCGGTCAGCTTGGAGTTAAATAGGAATTTAGTGGATGAGTTAAGATTTCTACAGCACGCGATCCACATGTCGTATGGCTCCTGTTGTAGGTGATATTGGTGGTATGGCTCCTGTTGTGCTGATATTGGTCGTATGGCTCCTGTTGTAGGTGATATTGGTGGTATGGCTCCTGTTGTGCTGATATTGGTCGTATGGCTCCTGTTGTAGGTGATATTGGTCGTGTGGCTCCTGTTGTGCTGATAGTGGTCATATGCCCCCTGTTGTAGGTGATATTGGTCGTGTGGCTCCTGTTGTAGGTGATATTGGTCGTGTGGCTCCTGGTGTGGCTCCTGTTGTGCTGATATTGTAAACTTCTTTTATAGGACGTCGTTAAGTTTACGGGTGGTTGTAAGTCGAGGAAAGTTAGCCTTTAAGATTTCTTTGTTTTTGTTTACCAGAGGTTGAAGCCTTTCATCGGTGCCTTAGTATTGTGAGGCAGCGACACAGACGACACACACACGAGGCTGCCCTTGACCTTCTGCAGTATGTTTACTACTTAACAAATTATGACTTCAAATATTAGCAGTGTTAATAACGAGAGAGGGAGAATAATAGTGGTGGGCTGGCGGGGGTGGGGGGGGATAAAGTCATGACAGCAAACTATTATAATTTATGGTCCAAAAATTAATTGTTTACTTTTATTAACTTAATAATGTTATAAATCATTTTCACGGGACAATATTGATAGTGATGTTGAGCTCGTAGTGTACTAGAGCTACTGGAATTGCCTTTTTTTCACAGATATTTACAGCTTTGAAATATTTCTTCTTTTTCTGTCTCCTTGCCAATATAAAATGAATCACTTGAGAAAAAAAGCAAAATTTACGAAGTTGTGAAAGCTTTCAGCTCAAGCTATTGAGAAGGAGCGATAGATTTCATTCGTCCTGTGTTCGCAGACGGAGTCATTTCTGGTGGGAGACGCCACTTCCCTCAGAGGTGCAGGATTTTATATACTCGTACAGTATATATACTTGACTTTTTTTTTAATTTTTCAATAAACCATTTTAGTTTTTTATTGTTTGGTATGACTGTTCATATTTATTTTTCTAATTGAACTATGACACACTGGCGATGACTTCAACTCTACCCTAGAACACACAGTTAACTGGATCGTAAGGCCTCGTAAATGACCCAACGTACCTGTGTGAGGTGCTGCTCTCTGCGTCACATTCATACACATAATATTTCGTTTTCACTGAACATCTCTATTTACAACTTAAAAATCCGTCTAGATTCTGGTCATATGAAGGGATTTTAGTGAAACGTATCACAACCCGAGTGAATACCTATGTGTTGATCTATGTGGCTAAGTGGGGAAGGTTGGCTGCGTGTGGGTAGAGTAGGCGCGTTCTTCTGCAGATAGATTCTAACATCTTATTCAGCTGATAATATATTATTATTATTATCATTATTATTATTATTATTATTATTATTATTATTATTATTATTATTATTATTATTATTATTATTATTATTATTATTATTAATATTATTATTATTATTATTATTATTATTATTATTGTTGTAACATTTCACCGTCCCTCTCTGCGTCAGGCCAACGCTGTATAAGAACTGTCAACATCAATTCTCTCCAGCAGAAATGTTATTACCCAACCTCCACGCCGCAGGCATTCCTGGGTCCTCTCGTCGTCACCACACACCAACGTCCACCACCAACCACTTCATTTTAAACCCACCGTCATCACCATCACCCACCGTCACCACCATCATCCCCCACCGTCATCACCATCATTACTACTCACCAACATCACCATCACCACTATCATCATCACTGCCACCATAACCAGTACCATCACCACCATCATCACTACTATCACCATCACCATCACCACCATCATCACTACTATCACCATCACCATCATCACCATCATCACCATGCTCGTCACTCCTGCTTCCCACAGTGACTGACGCGTCGCCATTGTGCAGTAATTTCATTCTCCCAATCAACTTCATATATACACAACCCTTGACATGCAGCGCTTAAGTCTGTCTCCACTGAATTAGATACATCTGTATTTGCTTCTCACTCACTCCCAAATTACACGAATTGGGAGGAGCTGTGTTGTTCGTCTGCATGTTATTAATTTTGTCATTACGTCGCTCGCATTTTAAGAGATGAAGTGTGACGCCCCTGACATAAAATTTTCACCATTAACATATATTTCTATACATTTTGGTACACGTGAAACACTATGTTGGACTTGTAGCAGTTCATAGTGACTGGTATTATGGTATCACGTAAATCTCTCTTAAAACCCAGGTGAAAAAATACCATAGGAGCAAGACATGTTAACTTTTACCAATATTATTATATTTGAAAATGTTTACAGTCATGAAAATACAAAGGGAGAATATGTATTGATGAAAGAAGAGTGAGCATTCTTTATAACCCAGCTTAGTGATTCACAACTCACAGTAAGCAAGATGGCAAGGTGTGTGTTATTTCAGCTAAACTACAACAACAACAACAACGTAATGATTGTCAACTTCAGAGTGACAAAGATGAAAATGATTAAGAGAAACAACACATACACATTATACTGTTCCAAGTATCTTCATGAAGTGAGTGTCTTGCCGTTTCTGAAACTCATGAAGCTGCAACAAAAAGAGTGCCTGATGGATTGGGTTGTTGGTTTGGGTAAAACTCGACAGTAAATGTTATTAATGGCAGCATTGAAGCAACAATACCTGGTACGTTATATTCACCACATTATCTTCCATAAAACAACTGAAATAAAGTTATAGATTGGTTATTCAACGCAAAATGGTCCAATATTTCTGTTAATAAACTATTACCACTAACCATACCGCTGCCTCTTCTAACATGTAAATTAGCCACGATATTTACAGATACAATTTATGTACTTCCACCTTTTGATCTTACTCTCTCACCACACACATTTATCTCTCTCTCTTTTGTCACTTAGTCTCTTTCTTCCTTGCATAGCCATTAAAATCTCAAAATAACTCCGCCGTCGTGTAATTTGAGTCCCGAGCAGACGAGCAGCGCCTCATTCATACACCTCCGTCAGTCCTTCAAATATAAAGAACAAACTCGTCAAGGCCAACACACGCTATGGAGGTCGTTTCTAATGACATGAAACGCAATTCAGAAAGATGCTGAGAAGGTTGTGTGAGGGGGCGTTTTCATCTCAGACAAGGAGGGAGAAATATTCCGAATATTACCAAAGAAGACGATATTTTTTTCCTGTTATGGCGTGTGTACTCTCGCTACTTCTTGAGGCTGAGAGTTTTACATGAGTTTGAAAGTTCTCTGGCGGGTTAAGGCGTTCTATGCAGGGGTCTACGAGCTCATTGACGAATGTACAGAAGTTCTAAGAGGATTTGGAAATTTTCTACGAGATGGAAAAGTTCTCAGTAAAGGAAGTTTTCACAATGGACAAGAACCATTTGAAGTGGTGTGTAGGTCCCCGAGAGCTGGTGGTTCTTCTGTATGTCTGGGGTTCTGTTGGGTTCAGGAAGTTCTTTGAGGTACAGGATGTCTTAATGGTGAGGAGGTGTGTGTGTGTGTGTGTGTGTGTGTGTGTGTGTGTGTGTGTGTCCTGAACTTATAGTGTATTAATACCATTTAATAACTAATATATCTTTAAGCTGGTAGTCATATGTAATCAGTAACAATTATCAGCAATAGATTATGACATCTTGAACTTATCAAAGAACTGATGGAATACGAAAACTCATGAAAATTGACTGGACCAAAGAGAAAACACAGGATACGTAACACACAAGAAATCAAAGTTTGTTTACACCTTGAGTCTCACCTGTCCACCCAGCTGTGAATCGGTGTTTACCTTTACAGTTCAGGAAGAGAAAACGATCAGTATAGTGCCAGACACGATGCCTCATAATGTAACGAGAAGATAACTGCACATCCAATACTGTTTTAAAGTTCTCTATAATACCAAAGATGTATAACTAGATAAACAAAGTAAGATCAACATGAAACTTCAAATAGATTATAGTTAAACAAGAGCAATGAGGATTATAGGGAAACAAGGAGGATATTAAACCACTAACATAACCCTTGAACATTTCCTGCCTAATATTAATCGTTGGTGTAAATGACGTCACTCGGATGAAAAGAAAATTTGTTTACTTGGTTTTTTTTTTCTCTCGGGTTTCATCACAGCGACCTGATTAATGGCTGGCAGCATCACTCTTATTGGTAGTGTTGCCTCGTCGCCTCCAGATTATATCAGTGGCGTGTGTTAGATTTATTTCCAAGTTTATTCTGAAGGTGACGTTGGGTAGGTAGAGAGAGGGAGGGAATATTAGTTCCTTGATGTTATGTTATGTTATGTTATGTTATGGTATGTTATATTACACACACACACACACACACACACACACACACACACACACACACATACACACACACACACACACACATGCCAGGATGATGTCACTATTATCGGCCACCAGCAGGGTTGAGCTGAGAGGTCCTCCTCCAAGACCTCCTCCTCCTCCTTCTCCTCCTCCGCCTCCTTCACTCTTGCCACCACCATTTTTATGAACCCCTGCCCCCCCTCCCCCCACCTCCCCATATCTCATACCTCGACCATCATCACTCTCCAGTCATCCTCACTCGCCTCTGCTCCACTTCCCAGGATCAACTTCATCCTTCCTTCTTCATCCTTCCATCTTTATCCTTCCCCTTTTTATCTTAATTGTTGTTATTCTTCATTTGTTCCTTCTGGTGTTATTCGTGTTTGTTTATCTTTCACGGTTCACTCTTTAAATATCCGGTACGTGTGTGTGTGTGTGTGTGTGTGTGTGTGTGTGTGTGTGTGTAGATTGAATGGTGATGTTGTTTTATTTTAAGATTGTATTAAGCAGGACCCATTTACCCGTACACAGACATATATAAGTCCATATAGACACGTGTAGACATACAGAGGCACACACACGCACAAGCACTGGATCATGCACCCACATCCAAATATATATATATATACTATATATATATATATATATATATATATATATATATATATATATATATATATATATATATATATATATATATACTATATGCACTCAGTCAAACTCATCAGTACGTTTGCATGTATGAACACACACACACACACACTCTCTCTCTCTCTCTCTCTCTCTCTCTCTCTCTCTCTCTCTCTCTCTCTCTCACCTGCTTGACGGGTTATCACACAACATGGTGACCTTGGAGGGCAGGCAAGAACGCCCTTATCTTGACCCAGTTGCAGACTCACTCGTTATTTACTCATTGCCTCCAAGTCGACTTCTCTTGCAACTTTCCCTACATTGTCTTCCCCTAACTTTGATCAACTTCTGATAAGGACAAGTCATGGTGAAAGTTTCCATAGGAGGGAAGAAAACGAGAGAGAGAGAGAGAGAGAGAGAGAGAGAGAGAGAGAGAGAGAGAGAGTGTGTGAGGTTAGGTTTTATTAGTTAGCATTAGGGTGATTAATCTTTAGGTGAAATAAGCTGAGGTGCCTTATTTTGCGGTGGTATGGCCCCTTTAATAATATACGTAGGTGTCGTCAGCATTAACCATAACTCAGAATCGTACAAAGTTGTCCTGTCGGGATTATTATGTAATTACACATAACAATATATGTGATAGCTCAGGTCCGGAGATTGAATTGCTCACGCTAATTTCACAGAATTAGTAATATCCGGTAATTATCGAGACTGTTGGAGGATCATCTTAGCTTGGCTGAAATTGGTTTTGCTCGCGTGTCCTATATGTAGAGATGCATAGGTGAGCAGCCTCTTAACTACACAAATATGTAACATTATTTCTTACGTGTATTCCGCAATGATAATACCTACAGTGCTTGGCCATAAGTTTTGTCAGTATTGATAAAGAAAAGTGGGCTGAATTTACCTGCTGTGGATTCGTCATGGTGGTTATGTCTGTTGATCAGTAGCGAGGCTTGTGGTCAGGTTGTTATCCTGGTTATAGGGATAATTATTACATGACCATACAAGTGTGGTCTGATGCGACATTACCTCTATCATTACCAACACTACTACTACTACTACTACTAACTACTACTACTACTACTAACTACTACTACTACTACTAACTACTACTACTACTACTGCCACTTCCACCATCACAATCCCCATCTCCACCACTGATGCCGCCAGTAGTAGTAGTGATCGTGGTAGGTAGTAGTAGCAAAAGTGGTGGTGGTGATGGTGTTAAGAATCATATTGTAAATAATTTAGACGTTTGACATCTGCATATTCCTACAACAACCTACAGAACGATAGTTGTATTGAAACGCCTCACTATATATAATTAGTAACGATATAGTCAGAAATGGATGACAAAATTTGACCCAGAATTGGGAACAAGATATTACTGAATATTTCCCTTTTACATAATTCCCTTAAACCTTTACTTTTTTGTGTCCTAAATTGTTATGTTTTAATGCCCAGGGACTCTCAGTTTATTATCGACATTAAGACATTTTATCAACAAGATTCAAACTTCAGACACGAGAGAATGTCGACTGAATTTAATGTGATAATTCTGTTTATTATTGCACGTGTCGTCCAGTGCTTACGACACACACGAGGCATTATTATAGTTGTTTGTTTTATTGTTCTCTCTTAACTCCACTCTGAGTCTTTATCATGTTTGTGCTCTTACTGTTTAACGGGGCCCCTCACACACACACACACACACACACACACACACACACACACACACACATGTTTAATCCTTGTGTGTTTCATCAATTATGATATACCGGAACTGTGAGAATTATTATAGTTTGGGGACAGCCAGAGGGGATGGAGGGGGGATACACAAGGAGTGGCGCAGGTGCCAGTTCAAGGACACACCACCACCACTGACGGGTCCGTAACGAGGAAGAAATACGTCTATCATCGCGGTAAAAAAGAGGACAAAAGGAACAGGAAGTTAGAGGAAGTCCGTGTGTGTGTACGTGGGTAAGATCATTTTATAAGACATTGTGAGAAATTCATTAAAGTTCGGTCCGTAGAATGATGTTAAATGGTAATTCACTAATATTATTGAGATGTTGATATTTAAGGTAAGAACTAGTGAATGTGTGATGTAGGGTATAGTGATTCATGCCTGTGATCTGATGATGATGATGATGATGATGATGATGATGATGGGTAGGAATATAAGTTTGTAATGTGTGGAGAAATGAGAACTATCTCCTGATGCGAAAGACTGAGACATGGGAGTGTAATACTTCAATAGACTGACAGAGAAAAAAACATTTGATGACTTGGTTGAGACTTAGTTGAGAATTGGTTGAGACTTAGTTGAGATTTGGTTGAGATTTTAGAGTGAGAAAGATGGACAAAATAACTGAGAAACACACACTCCCAAAAAAGTATCTTCACGGAGGGGACCGATGAATTTCAGAATGAACACTGTGACTCCTATTGTCTTGATAAGGTTGTCAAAATCCTTCGCTCGTTGTGTCATATTGTCTCACACCAAATCATTACGATAGTTTTTGAAGGGAGTGTACAGTTGAGAAGATGTGAAATAGAGGGACATGTATTTTGTTAAAGAATGAAGGATAGAGAAATTCTTTAATGGCGTGGACTTGTGGAGAGAATGGTGGAAACTAGGATGCCAGGAGACCGTATATAAAGGAGTGGAAAGGGAAGAGAAGAGAGAGAGATCGAAAACAGGTTGAGGGAGTACACGCTAGGTAGGTGTTAGTATGGGAGAGAGTGTCATGGGTGTGCGCAGACAGGAATGCATGGAGGAGCTGGTGGCTAGTGGGAGGTGATGCAATATATATATATACAGATAGATATACAATACATACAACAACCCTCTACAGTGTATGTTCTGTTAGTATACACGTGTTAACATCCTTTCATGGTAATTACTACTCACCAACAGTATAATGATGATACATGTTGAAGAGAAGGTGTTGTGGTGACCAGAACAATAGTGGTGCCTATAATTTTCACTCCACATAACAAACTCCTTCAGAGATCTCCTCACTAATTTTCACCTGCACTTAACACATTATACACCTTGACTAACATACAATTCTAGACTACAACAAATAAATGATTGGTCATTATCACAGAGAAGAGGAACAGATATATCTATCCAAGTGAACGCGACGCCGTGTACTAAATCCCCCAACCAACTCTCACCAGCCGAATGACGCAGTGGTGATGACAGGAATACGAATGGAGTCACATTAAGCTGATTCTTGTTCTCATTCGCTCTCTGCTGCTCCCACTGCTTCGTATTTTTTATGGCTGACTGAATGTTATATTTTGGTTGTAAGTCGATGGGAATGATTGTATGGGGTCAGCTCAAGGGTGTACAGGGACAACGAGCATATTTCTCTTTAAGTCTCATCATCTAACTTATTTCATTATGGTGTATAGTGATGTATGTATTCTTCGACTGTCATTTAGTGTGTGTGTGTGATACTGGACAAAAGTACCCACTACTCTCGTCTAATCTCTACCGCAGTATGACTGTATAACAACTTTGGGACATTTCCTTAACTTCGCCGCTGGCAATATCGGTAGCGTACATTTGCCGTGGCAGATATGCTTGTGGCACAATACCTCCCCCGTCCGCTTACTGCACACTTGCCCAACTTTTCCCGAGATGACGCTGTTCGTTGCCATTCCTGTCTATTTCGGATTCGCTCAATTGCCTTCTCATTCCATAGGCAAACCCTAGTGGTATCAGTCTCTCTGGGGCCCGAACAAGTACAGTCAGGCTTGGAAGAGTAACTGCTCTCTCTCTCTCTCTCTCTCTCTCTCTCTCTCTCTCTCTCTCTCTCTCTCTCTCTCTCTCTCTCTCTCTCTCTCTCTCTCTCTCTCTCTCAGATGCGGCGGGAATCTCTGAAATCTTCGCGGCCTCCGGTACTAAGTCGAAGTTGTACAGATTTAAGGGAAGTGATTTTGTTATGCATTGGTATGAATCCCGGTTCCTCACTAACCTGACTCCAGGATGGGCAAAGTTAGCCAAGTGTCATTGGTTGGGGTGTGTGTGATCGTCCGCCTCACTGCTTCTTGTTTCTCTAATGCCTATGTTGGGATGGGACTGCCTCATGATGGTTGTTGGTGAGATTACTCCACTGCGCCGTAACTGCTTGTAATGCTAATGTAATCTGGATGATGCTGCTCCCATTAACTTGTGCTTAACGTTAAATGTACTGGATAATGTATTCCTTGTCTCATCAATGGGCTGATGATTATTTTAGCTATGAAGTGATGATGTTTATTATTGGCATTAGTAACAATAGGATCTGAACAATACAAACAGAACTTGTAATTCAAGATCCATGTGACCTTTATAAGTGGTGTTCATCTAAATTCAGGTGATGTTTTGATGATGGCCGTGTGTCCGTGGACCAGCTGAGACGAGTCCTGGCTGGAGAGGTGGTCCTACTTGGTATTTCTCTGTGACTTCTGACTGATCTAGAGTAAAGAAACAAGATCTTTCTGGTGCTATTCCTTAAAAGCCATTATGGAAGTGTGAAAGGAATAATTCAATGGATTTAGCAGTTGTATCGAAGGAAACAAACATAGGACCAAACAATATTACGAACTTTTCAGTACAGAGAGGGAATTTACCCAACTGATGCAATTTGAAAGTTTGAAGGCAATACATCAGAGAATCCATTAACCAGAACGGCTACAGATGAAAATAAAATGCTAGATGATTTTTTGATAAATAATTTGCTAGTGATACACCACAGTGAGGACAGAAAAATAACAGACCATTTTTTTGTTTTTCGTTTTTCTTGTCAGAATCTGGAAGGGAAAAAGTCACAACTCCAGCGGACGAGGAGATACCCTGGAACTTGTGTCTGTGATGAATGTCTCGCCATCAGTGAGGGTTGAGTGACAGCTGAGTCTCACACTATTCACTTACTCACTCACTCACTCACCAGCAGTAACTCAGTCTATCAGTTATTACCACCAACACCAAACGCTCAGACAGCCACCAATACCACCATACAGTCACACAACCACTAACTCTTGCTGACAGGTTCACTTACTAACACGGTCAGTCACTTATACGACCACTCATTCAGTCGACTAGTCGCGAATACTTTTGTCGAGTATATTAACTGAATAATAAGTCATTCAGGCGAACAGTCACTCAGACGACAAGTAAATCACTCATAAGACCAGCAGAAGCGCAGGTACCTCGAAGTTCTTATTCAGTACTGAGACTCCGACCTTCCCTCTCTCAAGCGACATCACTTTCACACACACACACACACACAACAAAACAGCACATCTCACGCATCACAACGCAGCACATCTCACGCATCACAACACACCATATCCCAGACGTCGGCGAGTTCAGTACTTCCAGCACAGGGAACTGCCTCTGTCCGCTACGACATGGGTGATTTAGAGAAAATGTTTTAACTTTTTTACCCTTCCATTTTCTTTTATGAATCCATAGCGCTAGGGACGAGCGGTACTCCAGGCTAGAATGAGGTCAGGGAAAAGAGAATGATGTATGTGGGGATACAGAGCGTGTGAAGACCTCCCACCTGGAGTTAAATATTAAGATTACCCTATTTCCCTGTTCTCAAAGGAAGTATAGTTTACTGTTGAATGTTTCTGTGCCCTTTGGCTTATGTTCCGTGTGGTATATAGTCTTCTGTGTCCAGTTTCCTATATTCTATGTCTCTGGGCCTGTGTCCTATAGCCTAGGTCCTTTGCCTGTGTCTGAGCTGTGTCAAATGTTTATACCTTGTGTTGTGTCTTGTATCCAACGTCGTGTTTTTGGGGGTAAAATCTCTTTACTTACTCAACAATGTAAATAACACTGATTCTTTTGCTTACTTTTCTTTACTGTTTATACCCAGGAATTTTCATACTTATTGAATGAAAAATGTATTTAATGTATGTATATAATTTCACTCGACAAATATTGGTTTTCAATAATAAAAAAAATGGGGAAAATTTTTCGATATTTATTTTTGTTTATATCCCCCGCCACAGCTCTTACTCTCTCTGCGAAAACATTAAAGTTTGTCAAATCCACTCCAAACTTCTTTCTTTGACGATTAAAACTTTTGACGTAGTTGCATCTCAGGCGGCAGCAACTACAGCGGAAGTAAAACACTCCGGCACATTTGTTCCCGTGACGAATTGCGGTCTTGGATCTCTCGCGGCAAAACTAAGAAAAGTCATAACCTGACGGAGATTCCAAGTTCCCAGACGGGGTAGGTCGTGCAAGCGAGGAACACTGAAGGACAGAGCAATAAGGTAAATAGTTTTGTAGATGCCGAGGCTTTGGGCTAGGAAAATCCTTCTTCGTAAACACCAAAGTGGACGATAGACGAGTTCTGGAATGTCAACAACCCAGTGTGATCTCCTTTCTACCTTGAACGATGGCTGACCTGGGATCCAGTCCCAAGGTTGGATTTCTCTGATTTAACCTGAGGTATTCTACTCCACCATTGCTTCGTTACGAGATACTTTCCTTGATTTTTTACCTCTGGTGCCTTGAGACACCGTCTGGAAATCTTCGCTCATGTTACTCTTTCCCAAGTGAGAATTATCTACTTTTTAAGACTCTTGGTCTGGTGAGCCGCCCTTTAATATGAGGAAACGTGCCACCTATGAGAAACAAGATTAAATACATAATAAATGTAAGAAGAAAACAAAGAAATACATTTATGAATCAAATAAAGAAGAAAAAGTGGGTGAAGAGGAAAAACTGTGGTCGTCATAGCAGCTGACTTACACTCTAGTTCTTTGGTGTGGCTCCATTAGGAACACTACTCGTACAATTCCACAAAAAGTGGAAAACGTCATGATACTTCTTCCCCGCCCCGAGCACTTATCTCTACACCTCTTTAAGAAGTGACTATCGTCTCGTCTGAGAGTACCCACCTTAGCTTCGCTTTTATTATTCCCCCTTGTGTGACCACTACTATCTATTGCAGCATCGCCTGAAGCCCTTACCTCTGGTGCGAATCTTTGGGACTCATCAATCCTCACCAAACGCCGGAGAGCCTTTTTTGGGCTCCTCAAGAGCTGGCGCAAACCCTCCGCCTCCATCCATCGTCGTGCTGACGGGAAATTGGACGTTCTGTTAGCCGTCGCCGAGTGTAAGACGCAGCAGTGGCTCCATGGCTGAGCACCTTCGGTTATCTTATATTTTTTTTACAAAACTCGAGTTACCATTTGCTCGAGTATCTCTTCAGATGTCGTCTCCGATAAGGAGAAAATTGCGTATCTCGTTTATAGTTGAAAAAATAAGTATACTGTGTGTGCATACAGTATATATATATATATATATATATATATATATATATATATATATATATATATATATATATATATATATATATATATATATATATATATATATATATATATATATATATATATATATATCAATTCCGTCACAGAGAGGAGTGTCTGGATGTGATATTCCTCTGCCACAGCAAGATCCAAAACATCCATCTGACATTAGGCTGCCGCTTCAAAAAAAAAACAGCATCAGACAGCAGCATGTTCATCCTATTCGCGACTCAATATCAAAATTTTGGGTTCGGCTCTTGTACCACTGCTTCTTTGATGGTGGTCCCCTCCCTCCCTCCAGCTCCTCCTTCATCCCCAAATCACTGACTCATTGATGACTAGTCAGTGGGGTGACCTCTTCTCAGCCTTGTATCCTTGCCATGCAAAACACCATGAACAGTGTTCGACGAGAAAAGTGTATTGGATGTACTATCTTGATGTTACGTCAGAGAACACACCGAACGCTGTTTGGAACGTAGGGGGAAGTAGCACCGTCTTGCAAAGATGAAGAAACGGTATGTTGCAAGGCAGAGATACATGCAAGGATGAAGAAACGCTATGTTGCAAGGGAAAATTAAATCGGTGTTAAGACGAAAAAAGTGAAGGAGTGTTGTCTAGAAGCAAACTTTATTGAAAAGAATAAAACTGTATTGCGACGACGACAATGACTTTTTTTGGTAAATTGAAACTTATTTCACAAAGAATGTTGCGACGGAAAAAAAAACTGAGTTTCGGAAGAAGCTGACGTATTTTCAGGGGAAGAATAAAACTTCGAGAACTACTGAACCGAAGGAGAGAAACTGAGTTGCAGTGAA